AACGTGATGACGTCATATACTCGGACCAGAAAGTAATTACAACTTAATCACGAGCAGCCAAAATCAAGCAGGAAGATCATGTGGATGACATCTATCAACTGATTGTGGGGTGTATTTAAGAAGGAGGGAGGGGGGGATACGTTTATGCATTTGTGTACCTATCTTGTCACTGAAAAGAAGTCCCCGAGGAAGTCCCTGAGTGGGAAGAAACGCGTTGGACAGATTGTGGACCGATTTTATTTGTATTTTATGCTGATTGATTCTCACATCTGTGTAAGTAATAATTTATTTTTATACTTTACTTTTACCTCATTTTGGATGCACTTTGTTTTACATGCTGCTGAGACCTGCAACACCAGCTATTAGAAGATAGATACAACCTGAGATCTCCTAGGATTACTGAATGCCCTTTTAACCAGTTAAAGTGTGAGTGACCCATTAGTACAAATAATCACCTGATTTAGGTCCCACAGAGTTGCACTATGTTTCTCTCTATCTCCCTCTACTTGGATTTACCCAATTTTTTGTCTGTATATTTGAGGAAGATTTGAGAAGATCTTCGGGTTTTATCCACTACTAGAAGGGAAGTTATAAATACACACACACACACATCTTTTATCTATGAGCACCTAATATTCACTTGAACACTATATAGTGGAATTGGTGTAATTTTTTTCACTGCATTGAATAATTGTCTGGGATATAGTGAAAGATTTTGCATTTTATTTGGTAAACATAAAAGCATCTGGAACTATTTTGGGGCTTCACCTCGTGGTTGACCAGTCTAAACTTCACTCAAATGGCATTCCTATTCTACCGAACGGATCTGAGCAGCATTTCGACAGAGTGGGCGCTCAGATCCCTGCTATTTGGTGACTTACATTTTGTGGAGTTCTGACTAATATTAATGTATATTATGATTGTTTGAAATATTGTATATTTTCTGTACTCGGGAGATAGTGTAATTAAAGAGTTATCCAATTATCTCCCAGGTACAGAGGAGGAGTCTGGGAAAGGTTACTTTGTTCCCTGTCCCCAACAAGGTCCACCTGTGGAAAACTCCTGGAATGTAATTGTGACGAAAGCCACTTTGCCACTGGGTTTTGGAGTGGACTACTTTCCAGCCTTTTACCCTGTGACTATGGCCCCTTTAATTTATTTTGGCTGAGAGACCCTAATTGTGCCTATTGGGACTTTAAACATTTGTTCTGCGAACTCCCGAACAGTCGAAGTGGCTGCCATTCGAAATTTGAACACGTGGGCTAAAACCATAAATAGACTTCAGGGGGACTTAACCGCGAATGCCCTGCAACTATTTTTGGCATTAAAACCTCGCAGTTCCCGGTCGGTCCACCAGCGGCACTTAGCCGCAATTCTACGGAACTGTTTTGGGCATGAAATCCTGTGTTCGTCTGGGCAAAACTATGACTTCCATAGAATTTTTGAACCCCTGATCTGATCTGCTTGTACAACATATCAAAAAATCACCCAGACCAGATCAGGGGTTCAAAAATTCTATGGAAGTCATAGTTTTGCCCAGGCGAACACAGGATTTCATGCCCAAAACAGTTCCGTTATGTTTTGGGGTACTTATGGGACTTTATAAAATTGTGTTTTTTCTGCCTGTGGATAATTAAGTTAATGCATTAACTACCTTAATTATATCACAGGCAGAGGGGATGGATTGTTTACTGTATGTGGGAGTGTCGTACTGTTAATTACTGTTTTCATTGGTTTATGTCCCTTGTGCCCCTGTCCTCCATCAGGTCCAGTGGGTGTGCCTCTGGCCTGAAAAACTGTATAAAAATCCAACCTGTACCATTAAACTTCTTACCCTCAACTTACAGCCTCGTCTTGTGTGGTAGGGAACGACTATATTACTAGAAGGGATGGCTATGATCATCATACTCCCTTGGATAATCACTAGCTATTGTAAGAGCTGTTTCTGCTACGCTCTCTGAAGGAAGAGAGGTTCATCCACTGGAGCCTGGAACCTTGTTGGAGGTCCAGGGTGGGTTGGAGACAGCAAGACCCCAACCAAGCTGCGGCGGTTCGTGGGGTCTGCAGTGCTTATGGTGTCTGGTGCAGTGCTGATGGTCCTTGGTAAGCACTAGTAAGCATCGATTGATGAAGAGTCCATCACGGTAATTAAAGAAACCCCTTGCATGGGGAGTTGCATAAAAGTAAGCTGTGGCTCAATAAAAATCAGTTAACTCCCAGTTAAATCGTCCGGTTATTGGGGAATTCGGATTGTACTGCTGAACTATGCTTCTCTTGGATTACCAGTCTACCAGCGGAGATATTGATTTTAATATTGCAACTCCGCTACAACTGGTGGCAAGTGACGGGATACAAGCTTCACAACAAAGCAATGATCGTGTGTTTGGTTCGTACCAAAAGCATTCACAGATACAGAAGAGGACATTGATGAATTTCTCCAAGATTTTGAGAGACTGTGCCACTTACATGACATTGGACAAGCAGATTGGGTACCTCTGTTGGCAGACAAACTATCTGGCCATCAGCCCAGAGACATATCGGTGCTGATTCTGGGAGCTCAAGAAACAAGAGAAAGACTCACATGCTGAGTGGGCTTACTAACTGCAGAGAGCCACCATGGGATGGGTACAAGCAAACCAAGCCACAACCATGGAAGAACTGTTACAATTGATCCTCCTAGAAAAGTGCAAGAGTGGGTACGTGACCGTAACCCCCGTACCCTCTCCGACGCCACTAGGCTAGCTGATGAACACTATGACGCCCGACGTCACCACCAACCACCACCAAGCTTATTCTCTAGACTCCAGCACCCCTTGCCCCAACCCCACAGTGGCAGGGGAATGGATTTAACTCCTCCACTCCCAGGTTCCAACAATGTTACAACATCCGATGTCACTTATGCCAGCAGTTGGGACACGTGCAGAGGGAATGTCCACAGAACCAGAACCGCAACGCATGGGCCAGCCCGGGTCAACCACCAACAAACAGAGCTGCGGTCCAGTGCTATCAAACAGAGACCAGTCCCCGAGGCACCACTCCTAGCCACGCTGAAGAACAACTAGGTGTACTACACGAGGTCGACCCCATCAAGGTTGTGTCGGACAACCAACATCACCAGCAAATAGTATGTCTGGAGGGGAAGCCCATGCAAGGACTCAGAGACACTGGGGCCATGTTAACCCTGGTCAAGCATCATTTAGTCCCAGACACCGCACGTACTGGAGGCTCTGTGGCAGTGCGGGTAGCAGGGGGAGCAGTATATTGTTTACCCACTGCCACGGTTCATTTGAATTGGGGTGTGGAGTCAGGAGGCATGGAAGTGGGGTTGATGCAGAATTTACCTGCAGATGTACTACTCGGGAATGACTTGGGCCAGCTCACATCCGCATTTGTACAACAACCCTCACCCCAAGAAGGTTATCCTGTGACCACACGACAGCAGGCTCGCACCACGGATCAGCAACCAGCAGTCACCCCTAGAAACTTTACCCTGGGATGCCCCACTAGAGTTTGGGAAGGAGGTAGCAAGTATATAAAGATCGAGTTACTTCGAGTCAGGCAGGGCTGGAGGGGCAGCCTCAAGCTGCGGTAGATCGAATTTAGATTACTGTGTCGTCCAACTAAACAATTTCTTGTTCACACAGACACTTCTATTGTGGCGAAACCAACCTCGCCACTGTGAACTGGAGAAGCCTGGTTGCTCGCCTGCTCCCTTTGGACTATGGCCCTGCAGGTTAAACCGTTTATTTCCCCTGCAGAAAGGCTTATTTGTGTGATCTGAGTGCCATTCATCTAATAATGTGCACTCAGATCCCAGCTATCTGGGGATATGTGAAATGTCTTTGTGTTATGTGTAAATGTGACTTTATGTATTTTAAAGTGTTTTGTGTCTTTTTGCAACCATGTGCTTAATGGAGTCTTGTGTCTATCCTGGGAGATAATTGAATTACTTATCTCAGGATAGAAGACTCTGAAACTGGTTTGGGCCAGAAAGCCATGCTTCATTTAGTCACAAAGGACTTTTTACTAACTTTTGAACCCCTTGTCTGATTTGTACCATTTTTGAATATGTTGTTCCCCTGAATGGATTGATTGTGAATATGTAATTTTATGTGAATGTGATGTATGGTTTTGGAGTTATGAAAGTTGGGTAGAAAGTATGTTTTAACTGTATGTATAATTGAGTTTCCTCTCAGGATAAGGGGAGGGAATATGTGGGATATAACTGATATGTGATTGGTTGTTTTATCCCTCCCTGTGGGCGGTCCTGTATTTGCAAGACTGTAATAAAAACCAGGCTGGGTGTGCCAGCACCTGTTTTAACCCTCAAAGTGAAGTGTCGTCTCATTATTGGGGGAAGGATTTATTGTATGCTGTTCCAGTTTGACTGCTAGGAGAGTAAACCTATTCGTATGGTTCCTATTCAACTGTCTACAGCATTCATATGCTTGAGAGGATTCATATGCTTCTCCGGTTCGGTGGTTGTGGTGTCTGCTGCAGTGCTTAGAGTCCTCAGGAAGCGCTAGGAGCATCCTTTAACGGAGGTACCCAGTCGGGGTGCCAGGCGATCCGTTACATCTATGTTTGGATTGGGAGCAGTATTGAGCCAAGACGACAATTTATAAATAGGGGTGCCTTGGTCCCCAGTTAACTTAATAAAAACCCACCAAGTACAACTTAGTACAATTTTTAAGTAATTGCAAGACACTAATTAGTCTCTTCGGGTAACGTAATTGTTTACCAGACAAAGGCAGGACTTAATAAAGGAATATTTATTATGAGCAAAAATAGTCACAGTGCATAAGAAAATATAGATGACAATCAAATTAGTTACACCAACAACAGATACAAACAAAAGGGATAAAATAACAGAAGTCCTAATCACTTACTCAGGTTTTCAAAGTAAAACTTCTGCCCAGGGGGTCTTTGGTAGGAAATGTGGTAGATTCTGGCCCCCAAGCAAGTCCAATACTGTACTCTATAGGAACTCAGAGAGGATAGTAGCTGGGTCCGTACCGATCACCATGAAACAGTTGGTAGTCCCCCAGAGATATAGGCAGGAGTTACTCCGGACAGCCTAAGATATTTCAATATCCAGACATTTAGGAGTCAGCCAGACTAAATACAGGTTAACGCAGAACTTTTTCTGGCCAGGGATTTCAAAAGATATTCGGCAGTATTGCCAGACTTGTCACACCTGTCAGGGGGTGGGTAAGAGAGGAGACCGCCGTGGAGCAAAACTCCACCCTCTCCCAAGTATTGAGGAACCTTTCAGCAGAGTAGCTGTAGACTTAGTAGGGCCCTTGACTAGACCAAGCCCTTCAAACAAGACATATATCTTGACCGTAGTAGATAACGCCACTAGATATCCAGTGGCGGTGGCGCTGACCAATGTCCACGCTGAGACAGGAGCAGATGCACTGATGCACATTTTCTCTCGTATGGGATTTCCCCAAGAGATTATCTCAGATCGGAGAACCCAATTTACCGCAGAGGTCACCCACCAACTCTGGAGGATATGCGGAATTAAGCCCATAGTGAACTCGGCATATCACCCATAATCCAACAGTCTCTGTGTGCGGTTTAACGGAACGCTAAAACAAATGCTCCATGTGTTTGTAGACACCAATAAGGACAGGAAAAAATTCCTACCCCAACTACTCTTTGCGTCCAGGGAGGTTCCCCAAGAATCCACTGTTTTCTCCCCCTTTGGTCTACTGTTCGGGAGAAGGGTGAGCGGCCCATTAGACTTAATAAGAGAGCATTGGGAGGGAGAGGTTAGTTCAGATGGTACCCCTATCGTCCCATATGTGTTGTAGTTCAGGGACCACCTGGAGGAGTTAACACAGACAGTACAATCCAACCTCCAGGTGGCCCAACAACGCCAGCACAGGTGGTACGATAGGAGAGCCAGGGATCGCAGCTTTCAAGTAGGACAAAATGTACTAATTCTGAAAGTAATGATCAGCTGCAAGCTGCAGGTAAATATTTTACCAGGAAAAATACATTGAGATTTCTCTCGTTTTCAAGTATGTCCTGGGTCCACAAAACATTGCATTGATACATTAGGGTACAATAAAATACAAAACCAATATTAATACACAATATATACAAAATTTAACTTAGAATAGGTAGTAAATATATAATCAACCATAACACGTGCATTCTGTTTTGGGGTATGTGGAGAGGGATCTCTTAAAGGACTTTAGGCTTGGGGGAAGATTTTAAAGTGTGCAGGAGGTCATTCCACAATTGGGGCGCTCTGTAGGAGAAGGAGGATCGAGTCGCTTTCTTTTTGTATTGAGGTAGACTAAGTAAAGTGCTTGTACTGGATCGGAGGTTATAGGAGGTGGGAACAGCAGAGGAGAGCATTTTGCTCAGGTAGGGCGGGAGCTTCCCAGAAAAACTCTTAAAACACAAGGCTGGAAAGATGAAGGGTGCGTCTGGATTCCAGCGAAGGCCAGTTAAATTCTTTTAGCATGTTACAATGATGGGTCCTGTAATTACATTGTAGCACAAATTGGCATAACGAGTTATTATTATTATTGCCATTTATATAGCGCCAACAGATTCCGTAGCATTTTACAATGTTATGAGAGGGGGATTTAACTATAAATAGGACAATTACAAAAAACTTTCAGGAAGGATAGGTTGGAGAGGACCCTGCTCAAACGAGCTTACATTCTATAGGAGATGGGGTGTAAAACACAACAGGACAGGAATTTGCAGTCAAATAAGGTGGACTGCTCTTTAGGAGAGAGCAAGAGACAGGTATGTGAGGTAGAGGTTAATCTAGGAGGCCATAAGCTTTCCTAAAGAGATGGGTTTTAAGGCCCTTCTTAAAGGATGCAAGACTAGGGGAGAGTCTGATAGCGGTAGGCAGGCTATTCCATAGGAAGGGAGCCGCCCGCGAGAAGTCCTGCAAGCGTGAGTTGGCCGTTATACAATGTATTGAGTTTATTAATGTGGGATTGCGGTGCATGTGCATATACTACATCCCCATAATAGATGATTGGCATCAGCATTTGCTGTACAATCTTTTCCTTTACTGTAGGGCTTAGGCAGGATTTGTTTCTGTACAGGGCACTTAGTTTTGGATAAAGTTTAGATGCAAGTTAATCTACGTGAAGGCCAAAAGATAGATTGGGGTCTAATATCATACCCAAGTGTTTGAAAGAGTGGACTGTGGTCAGTGTGCTATTTTTAATTAGTTTTGATGGATAGGTGGGAATTGCGTAATTTGTGTAATTTAGGTACTGTTCCAAAGATCAGTTTTGTCAGTGTTCAGGAAGAGTTTGTTTTTTGCGATCCACTTTTCTACCTCTGTAAACTGGTCTTGGAGCACAGCCTCAACCTGCGGTAGATCGTATTTAGATTACTGTGCGCTATTTTCTTAACTGGAGCTATTTTCCTTGATTTTGCCAAGGCCTGACACAGTAGACCATGGCATTCTACTGCAAAAACTCAGGCATTGGTGATCGTCCGCTAACCTGTTTTTGATCGTATGTTTCAGACCAATTGCAATATGTGGCCTTTTCTGATAGCGCTTCCCTCCCTCTTCCAGTCACGTGTGGTGTTCCCCAAGCCTCCTGCTATTCAAATTATAAATGATCTGCCTAACGTCTGCAAATCCTCAACTGTACACATGTATGCAGACGACACTGTAATCTACGCTAGTAAACCCAAGCTACCGCAGTTTGAGGCTGTGCTCCAAAACCAATTCACAGAGTTAGAAAAGTGGATAGCGGATAAACTCTTCCTAAACATTGACAAAACCATTACAATGATCTTTGGAACTGTGCCTAAATTACGTAAACTACAAAATCAACAATAGTGTATCAGAACAAATTCAAATAGCACACGGACAGCAGATCTAGGTATGTTGCTAGACCCCTATGTATCTTTAGGCCTTCATATTGAAAAAAATCTCTTCAAAACTTTACCCAAAACTAGGTTCCGTGTACAGAAAGAGATCCTGTCTAAGCCCTACAGTAAGGAAACAGATAGTGCAACAAATGCTAATGCCGGCCATTGATTAGAGAAACTTCTATGTTTACCTATGGGTTAATCCAGCTTCTAGTGGCTGTCTCATTGACAGCCGCTAGAGGCGCTTCCGCGCTTCTCACTGTGATTTTCACAGTGAGAAGACGCCAGCGTCCATAGGATGACGTCGGAAGGAGGAGGAGAGTCCCAGCGCTGAGGGAGCCCTCGCTGGAAAAAGGTACGATTTTAACCCCTTCCTCCCACTTCACTGGCGGGATGGGGGCCATGAGGGTGGGGGGACCTATTAACACTATAGTGCCAGGAAAACAAGTTTGTTTTCCTGGCACTATACACCCTGTTCCAAATTATTATGCAAATGATATTTTTCTAATTTACCTAAATAATTGATGTAAATAACAGTCAGCATAATTCTCATGTTATCAACTATTAAGAGTACAATTCAAATTTTTTTGAACAAACCTCCTAATGATGACAATATTTTTTTTAAACATAAAACACTTACAAGGCACTCCAAATTATTACGGACAGTAAGTTTCAAAACACTTTATAGGTTGTAAAGAACTGAAAATTGTCATTTGTTGTGTTTGCAGCATATTTACTGAAATCAAAAGCTATTTCAATCAAACTTATAACAACATTTTAACTTTTTAAACATTTTAACAGGTCACGTTACATTTTAACATAGGACCCCTTATTTGATAGCAGCTTGACAAGTCTTGCATCCATTGAATTTGTGAGTTTTTGGACAGTTTCTGCTTGAATTAGTTTGCAAGATGTCAGAATAGCCTCCCAGAGCTGCTGTTTGGATGTAAACTGCCTCCCACCCTCATAGATCTTTTGCTTGAGGATGCTCCAAAAGTTCTCAATAGGATTGAGGTCAGGGGAGGATGGAGGCCTCACCGTGACTTTCTCTCCTTTTATCCCCATAGCAGCCATTGATGCAGAGGTATTGAGATGGTGCATTGTCATGCATGAAGATGATTTTATTACAGAAAGCATAGTTCTTCCTTCTGTGCCAGGGAAGAAAGTGGTCACTCCACATACTTTGCAGAGGTCATCTTTACACCTTCAGGGACCCTAAAGGGGCCGACCAGCTCTCCCCATGATTCCGGCCCAAAACACGACTCCACCACCACCTTGCTGACATTGCAGCCTTGTTGGAACAGGGTGGCCGTCCACCAACCATCCACTACTCCACGGCACTCATCAGTGAACAGGACTATTTGAAAATTAGTCTTCATGTATTTTTCTGCCCAATGCAGCCATTTCTGCTTGTGAGCATTGGTTAGTGGTGGCCGAATAGAAGGTTTATGAACAGTTGCAAGACTCTGGAGGACTCTACACCTTGATGTCTGTGGGACTCCAGAGTCAGCAGCAGCTTCAAATATCTGTTTGCTGCTATGTAATGGTATTTTAGAAGCTGCTCTCTTGATCTGATGCATGGATCTGGCAGAAATCTTCCTCAATGTGCCTTTATCTGCACGAACCCGTCTGTGCTCTGAATCAGCCACAAATCTCTTAAAGGACCACTATAGGCACCCAGACCACTTCATCTTAATGAAGTGGTCTGGGTGCCAGGTACAGCTAGGTTTAACCCTTTTTTCTATAAACATTATAATAGTTAATCCAGCCTCTAGCGTCTGTCAATGATTTTCACAGTGAGAAGATGCCAGCGTCCATAGGAAAGCATTGTGAATGCTTTCCTATGGACTGGATGAATGTGCGCGCGGCTTGTGCCGCGCATGCGCATTCAGCCGAGGAGGAGGAGAGTCCCCCGGCCGGCGCTGGAGAAAGAGGTCAATTTAACCCCTTCCACCTCCTAGAGCCCGGCGGGAGGGGGGCTCTGAGGGTGGGGGAACCCTCAGGGCACTATAGTGCCAGGAAAACGAGTATGTTATAGAAATATGTAATGTTTTCATGCCTCGTCCAAGGCATTGAACTATTTCACTCTTTTTGGCAGCAGAGAGATCTTTTTTCTGCCCCATATTACATGAAAATAGTGCTCTGCTTAATAATGTGGAACATCCTCCTTTAGTAATTTTTCCTTAAATTGGGCTCACCTGGCAATCTAATTATCACTGGTGTTAAAAAAATTGTTTATATTTAAATTAGACTTCCAGGCCACTTATGTGACTTCTCACACCTTGCAGAGCCTTTGATTAATCAAAGGATCAATCAATATGGCAAATCATCTGCTCCCTTTCACATTCCTATGCAATTCACACTACCCCTTCTGTTATCGGATCTCTACCAAGTGGTAAATTCATATATGCACTACACAAATGACATTAAATGGCAATATTCTATTGTGCAACAATGAATTATGCACCCTTGCCGTGACAGGGGATTGTTTGGGTTTGTTACGCATGCCGGAAAAGGTGACTATGCACTGTCATGTGGGGAAATCACAATAAACCACAAGAGCAAAGGTCTAGACTCCTGGACTCTGTAGGAACTTTTCTATACAGTCTCAACAAAAGACTATTACCACCCCTTGTTTCCCTGTTTCTTCCCCTTCTGTAATCCAGCAGAGCGTCCCTCTCCACCTTGCTGGGGAACAACTCTCACCTCTGACCGGTTTACCGGCTGTTTTAACTCCCTTTTCAGAGAGTTTGGGGGTGAGGTACAGAGGATCCCTATGAACAATCTCTCCCTGAGATCCAGGGGAACCCCCCTTTTTCCAGCCCTCAGAAGTCCCTGTTAAATGACCAGCACTTAGGCACAACCATGGTGGAACTGTTTTCAGCCAGAACTTTCATTGCGATCAGTCCAAACTTTCCCACCATTTCCACAATTCCTCATGGATCAGAGCGTTAATTTCCCAAATATCTGGGCATATATAATATGTAGGGTTTATTGTGTATCAAATGGTTGTTTGGGGTATTTACTATGTTAATGTTGTCTGTGCTCGGGAGCTAATTAAATGAAGCGGTGGATGTTGCCATCTGCTCCCAGACACAGAGGAGCCAGCATGGGATCACCTATCCTTTTGCTGGAGACCCGATGCTCGGTTTCTGTGTATAAAAGGCTGCACTGTTTCAATAAAAGTTGTTCTCCTCGGCACTATGTGTCATCTGATGTCTGGGGAACGGGGCTCTAAACACTGAAAGGCTCTTCTCCCAGTTAAAGGACCACTCTAGGCACTCAGACCACTTCAGCTTAATGAAGTGGTCTGGGTGCCAGGTCCAGCTAGGGTTAACCCATTTTTTCATAATTATAGCAGTTTCAGAGAAACTGCTATAATTATGAATGGGTTAAGCCTTCCCACTAATCCTCTAGTGGCTGTCTCATTGATTGAGAGCACGCAAGCGTCCATAGGAAAGCATTGTAAATGCTTTCCTATGCGACGGGCTGAATGCGCGCGCAGCTCTTGCCGCGCGTGCGCATTCAGCCGGCGGGGAGGATCGGAGGCGGAGAGAGGAGGAGGAGAGCTCTCCGCCCAGCGCTGGAAAAAGGTAAGTTTTTACCCCTTTCCCCCTTCCAGAGCTGAGCGGGAAGGGGACCCTGAGGGTGGGGGCACCCTCAGGGAACTATAGTGCCAGGAAAACGAGTATGTTTTCCTGGCACTATAGTGGTCCTTAAAGAGGGAATTCTAGCGGAAATATCCCGTCGGGATATAGGAGCTCCCCTACACAGTTCAAACACTAGCCTGCTTTAGTAGTTTGGTGCCGGGGAGACTTACCTGGTTCTCACTGGGTGCCTGCGCTCGACCTTCGCAAACCAAGAGAAGTCAGATATCAGTTTTTTAGTGAAGCTATTCATTCATTGGCTGAGAGTACTTGGCCGGTGATTTTATTAATTGAATCACAGTTCCTGATTTCCGCCAGTAGTCTAGGAGTTCACTGGGAGTGACGCTAAACAATCTGACCGACTATGCTAAAATGGTGCCAGGGCAGACTGTAGTGGTTATGGTGCATGGATTGTTCTATCAATATTAGAGAAGCCTGAGATTGGTGGAGTTACACTCACTGGCAGCAGTTGACTTCATCGATTCAGCTTCTCTCATGATAGCACAGAAGATTGAAAATGGCAGTGGACATTCAAGCCATAACTCACACTACTCTCAGGAAGACTGTGAATACTGTGTTGGCGATGTTACCAACCCTGCTGTATACAGAGAGTGCTTGGGGGATGGTAGCGAGGAATTGGTACATTATTGGAGGACAAGGAAGGGGTGATATTTTTTATTTAAAGGGATAATAGGAACAGCGTTTAGATTTGAGTATTTATACAGAGAGTTAAGATGAGGTAGGTAGGTAGTGTACTGTTAATTGTGCTATAATAGCCACAGGCTAACCTGTTTACCAATGACAGTGGCCTTTCTGCTCTGTCTAGTAGGATATACAGACAACCACATGGTACATAAAGAGTGCACAGATAGACAATACACAGTACATAGAGACAGGCACAGGGTACGGAGAAAAACAGTGTACACAGTATACAGACAGACACTAAATGTGGTACCCACAAACAGACAGTTCACAGACAGTACACACAAACACAGTGAAAGACAGTATACAGACAGACCTCACATGCAATACACAGACAGACAAACAGACCATACCCAAAGTACACAGAGACAGACAGTACATAAAACAGACACAGGATAAAGAGTTAAACAGCACACACAACATGCAGACAGACAATAGAGAATGAGACATGAAGACAGACGGACTGACAGCCAAGCAGCAGCTTTGCATTTTGCGGGATGAGATTTGTGATGTCCTTGTCACACATTTGGAAGGGGACATTGGGGGAGGGAGCCATGGAGTGTTATAAATAGCCATAGTCCATCCACGTACAGATGATTGAAGTGCTTTATATAGGGGTTAGTGACATTCCAGAATATCTATAGATTCTCACCACATCTAGACACATCTCTGTCTGTTCACATCCCCCCTTTATGTCAGCCGCCTGCAGATACAGATACAGATATAATATATACACACCCGCAGCCAGCGTCTGACCTAATCAGAAAATTGATCAGAATTAAAGAGGGCCTGGAAGCGAAGGCATCGGCAGAGACTTCTGGATGTGAGGAGAATACATTATTACAGAGAACTGAGCTCAGCAGCATACAGCAGTAACAGGGTTAATATCCAACACGTTGTTGGGGTCTGGCATGAAAATAATGCATACTGTAAAAAGGGCATGCATGAAAAGGGTTAATCATTTGTAAGGGTCAGGTAAGTGTAGAGTTAATAATTCATACTTACAAACAACTGGCATTTGAGAAGTTAATAAATTATACCCTCATAAAGGTGGGGTTACTAACTTGTACTTTGTAAAGATCTGGCCTGTGTAGGTTTAATATAATGTACTTCGTTAAAGATCTGGCCTGTGTGGGTTTAATATAATGTACTTCGTTAAAGATCTGGCGTGTGTGGGGTTAATAACATGTACTTGAGGTCTGGCGTATGTTGGGTTAATAAAATGTATTTCAGATCTGGTGTGAGTAATGGTAATAAAATGTACTTTATAAAGATCTGGTATGTGTGGGGTTAATAAAATGCACTTGACATCTGGCGTATGTTGGGTTAATAAAATGTACTTCAGATCTGGTGTATGTGGGGGTTAATAAAATGCACTTGTGATCTGGTGTATGTGTGGTTAATAAAATGTATTTCAGATCTGGTGTATGCAGGGTTAATAAAATGTACTTAAGATCTGGCATATGTTGGGTTAATAAAATGTACCGGTACTTCAGATCTGGCGTGTGTGGGGTTAATAAAATGTTTTTCAGATCTGGCGTGTATGGGGTTAATATGTACTTCAAAACTGGCGTGTTTGGGGTTAATAAAATTTACTTTTTTAAAGATCTAGCATGTGTGGAGTTAATAAAATGTTCTGTGTAAAGATCTGACGTGTGGGGTTAATAAAATGTACTTTGTAAATATCTGTGTCTGTGGGGTTAATAAAATGTACTTCAGATCTGGCGTGTGTGGGGTTAATAAAATTTACTTTGTAAAGATTTGACGTGTGTATGATTAACAAAATGTACTTTGTAAAGATCTGATGTGTGTGGGGTTAATAAAAATGTACTTTGCAAAGATCTGGCATGTGTCAGGTTAATAAAATGTACTTGAGATCTGACGTGTGTAGGGTTAATAAAATTTACTTCAGATCTAGTGTGTGTAGGGTTAACAGGTCTGGCGTGTATGGGGTTACTGTAAGAACAATAAGGATGTGGAATTCTCTGCCTGAAGAAGTGGTTTTATCAGAGTCCATACAGATGTTCAAACAGCTACTAGATGCATACTTGCAAAACAGAATATTCAAGGATATAATCTTTCAATGTAGGGTAATAACTGCTTGATCCAAGGATAAATCTGACTGCCATTCTGGGGTCAAGAAGGAATTTTTTTCCTAGTTTGTTGCAAAATTGTGCTTCAAACTGGGTTTTTTGCCTTCTTTTGGAACAACAGCAAAAAACAAATGTGAGGAAGGCTGAACTTGATGGACGCAAGTCTCTTTTCAGCTATGTAACTATGTAACTAAATGTCCTTTGTAAAGATCTGTCATGTGTGGGGTTAATAAAATGTACTTAAGATCTGGCATATGTTGGGTTAATAAAATGTACCGGTACTTCAGATCTGGCGTGTGTGGGGTTAATAAAATGTACTTCAGATTTGGCATGTGTGGGGTTAATAAAATGTACTTTGAAAAGATCTGTCATGGGTGGGATTAATATAATGTACTTGAGATCTGATGTGTGTGGGGTTATTAAAATGTACTTCGTTAAAGATCTGTCGTGTGTGGGGTTAATAACATGTACTTCAGATCTGACGTATGTGGGGTTAATAAAATGCACTTCAGATCTGGCGTATGTGGGGTTAATAAAATGTACTTCAGATCTGGCGTGTGTGGGGTTAATAAAATATACTTCATTAGAGATCTGGTGTAAAAAAAAAAAGTACTTTGTTACAGATCTGGCATGTGTGGGGTTAAAAAAGTACTTCAGGTCTGGCATGTATTGGGTTTATAAAATGTACTTCAAAGCTGGCGTGTTTGGGGTTAATAAAATGTACTTTTAAAAGATCTGGCGTCTGTGGGGTTAATAAAATGGGCTTCAAGTCTGGCATGTGTGGGGTTAATAAAATATACTTTGTTGAAGATCTTGCGTGTGTGGGGTTAATAATATGTACTTTGTAAAGATCTGGTGTGTGTAGGGCTAATAAAATGTACTTCGTTATAGATGTGGCGTGTGTGGGGTTACTAAAATGTACTTCATTAGAGATCTCGCGTAACAAACTTTACTTTGTTACAGATCTGGTGTGTGTAGGGTTATTAAAATGTACTTTGTAAAGATCTGATGTGTGTGGGGTTAATAAAAAATGTACTTTGCAAAGATCTGGCATGTGTGGGGTTAATAAAATGTGCTTCAGGTCTGGCATGTGTGGGGTTAATAAAATATACTTCGTTAAAGATCTGGCATGTGGGGTTAATAAGATGTACTTTGTAAATATCTGGCGTGTGTGGGGTTAATAAAATGTACTTTGTAAATATCTGGCGTGTGTGGGGTTAATAAAATGTACTTTGTAAAGATCTGGCGTGTGTAAGGTTAATAAAATGTACTTCAAGTTTGGAATGTGTAGGGTTAATAAAATGTACTTCAGGTCTGGCGTGTATGGGGTTAATTAAATGTACTTCAAAACTGGCATGTTGGGTTTAATAAAATGTACTTCAGATCTGGTGTGTGGGGTTAAAAAAATGTACTTGAGGTCTGACGTGTGGTGTTAATAAAATGTATTTGTTAAAAATCTGGCGTGTGTGGGGTTAATAAAATGTACTTCAGATTTGGTATGTGTGGGGTTAATAAAATGTACTTTTGGTCTGGCGTATTTGGGGTTAATAAAATGTACTTTTGGTCTGGCGTATTTGGGGTTAATAGTATGTACTTCAGGTCTGGCGTATGTGGGGTTAATAGAAAGTACTTTGTAATGATCTGGCATGTGTAGGGTTAATAAAATGTACTTCAGATCTGGCGTTGTGGTAAAAGATTTTAATAGTTTAAACAAACATAAAATTGAATTATAACGCACAGTTCATGTTTTGAGTCTCCCTGTAATGTTATTAATAAGGACATTGGAATTTGACTCTAACTCTCACTATCCCAGCCAATAGCATTATTCCCATTAAACACTATAAATCATTTACACATAAAGCAGGAGTAATTGGGGTTTTCCCTTCTTTTGGATCAACAGCATAAAAGAATGGGCTTCATGGCTGAACTTTGTCATCCTAGTCAAATAAAAGGTAATGTTTCAGCAGCTGGCTCCTCCCACAGCGCTTTCCGCTTAGTATCAGATTCGTATGCACCACCTCCCCCCTTTTTTGACCGCTATTGGGGAAAATATCGTACTGTGCACTCACATTGGTTGCTCATTCGGAGATGTGATGTGATTGGTGCTGCTAAAAGCATCCAATTAAAGAGCAGGATTAAATGAAAATGTAACTACACCAATCACAGCTCTTCAAAGTGACAGATGGTCACCAATAGCAGAAAATGGCTGCCAGTAACAGGCTGCGTCATGCTGAGTGTGATGGTATACAGAAAGCGCTGGGGGAGGAGCCTGCCGCTCTGCTTCAGTTACCCCATGCACATGTAAAGGGCAAGGTGCCATTTCTGCATACATGGCTCATATTTTTTTATGTAAACAATTGATCCAAAAGAAAGGGAAATGCGCAGAATTTCGGGTTATACCAGCACTACTTCTCTTGGTGACTATGTAGAAAGTGAGCTAGCCATCCATCAACTGTAAATATCTTTTAAAAAAACAAAAAGACAAATACAAACAAATCTTCGACATATTTCGTCTTTCCATCGCGGCCAAATGTTCGAGATATTGGGTTTATGGGTAAAATCTCTATATGATGCGTGCTCCACGTCTGTACCCAGTGAACATTTTACAATTTTATATCAACCGTTACCATGAGCTTATTGATCAGTGAATTACGAAATTAACATAAAGTGGAAAAAACTATGATTAATTAGTCTGTATCATTAATTGTGCAAACAACATATGATTTTAAATGCCATCCATTCTCGCTGCTGGATCGACACTGAGGCCTGGGTTAGCCAATCTGTGGGGGAGAGGAAGGGGGGGATCCCAAAATATACAATATGGATACCCCATTTGAGGATCTTCATATACATTTAACCACTTACATAATCTAACTAGAAGGACCTACACCAACGTAACATTTCCTATTCGTTGAGTGAGTGCAGGGCTCTAGACTGATTCTAAAAGTGATTGGACGATCCTTGTGGTAAAGGTCCACATGAAGCAGCTCCCTATAAGTTAGAGGAGCATTAATGGTGTTTTGTTTATTCTGTCAACTAGTTACAGTACAATCACACATCTAGCTTGGATAGCAAGTCGATCCTTTATCTTCTCTCTCCTCCTTCTCGTCTTTCTCCCCTCCTTTCACGGCCTCTTTTGCATTTCTTACAACCTCACGCAGATGAAGAACTGGCTGTGCCCTAACTCCTGATACCCGGCGGGCTAGGTATGGACCTATTGGGTTACCCCTTAGGAGATCACAACCTGGGAGGAATGGATTGGGACAAGAACCTTGCAAGAAGGAGTGGGTAAGTTCTTCTAGGAGTCCGAGGAAGCAAAGAGCTGCATTCTGTTCTCGACACAGATACCCCTGGGGAAGCCTTGCACAGGCCTGAAGGAGTGTGACCCACACCACATATGGACCTGGAGCACCTTTTTCCTGGAGAGCATGGCGCAGCACAGCCATAGAGGCCCTTAGAACCCTGGAGAGAGCCACAGGGAGACATCTTCTCATGAATAATTCAATTCCAGGGAAGCCCACTCGCCACTGGCCTTCAGGACCCCATGGGAGGAGATGAAAAAGCCTTGTTGTACCATCATCATCTGTTCCAATGTCATCCACGTACTGGGCTCCTGGGGGCCATCCCTGAACTTTAACCACAGGAACAATGTCAAAGCGAATGAGGAGGCCAGCAGGGGTGGACAGCAGGAGGGACACACAGTTTCCCCAGGATTCTGCCTTTTCAAGTGAGAGCGGGGACAGTGATGTTGGGATGCTAGATACCACAGACAGTAGGGATGGGAGAAACCAAAGAGAAACCATATGAGGGGTAACATAAGGGGAAGTGGGTTGGAAATGTTGGTGTGAGGGATCCCACAGGGAAAGAGGTAGCTGATAATGACAGGGAGCGCATTGAATTAGGGGATCAGATGATGGGAGGTGAAGAATGGGAACCAAGAGAGTGTACGAAATAGGGGGAGAAAAAAAGGGGGTTGGGGAGCCTAGATCAATTGGAGAGACATCAAGGAAACCTGAGCACAAGCCCCCGGAGAGTAGCAGGAGGGAGTTAGGTGAAGGCAGTGGATGTATATGGCCTTGTTGAGGAGAGATGAAGATAGAGACATGAGAAGAAAGGAGAGAGAAAAAAAAAAACACAAGGTTCTGTTTAATACAATATGTTCCTCAGACAGCAAAACAACTATCTTACACCCTACTATATCTTCACACCATCAATCTTCAAGATCTAAACCAGGGGTCCTCAAACTCCGGCCCCCCAGATGTTGCTGAACTACAACTCCCATGATTCTCTGGCTATCTATGTAATTCAAAGAATCATGGGAGTTGCAGTTCAGAAACATCTGGGGGGCCGGAGTTCGAGGACCCCTGATCTAAACCATGCTACCTGCAAACTCACCGTCTAAAAGCTTCAAATCTTCTCTTAGATCTCAATTAGATCCATGCTACTGATCCCAGTCATCCTAGATCCCAATCAAATCCTCTGTACCCCAGATCATCCAAGACCCCAAGATCTCTACACACCCCATGCATGCTTCTTACCAAATCCGACTTTTTATCCCATCCACTCCATGTTTCCAGCCCTTCACTTTTCTCACAATACAATCCATTCCAACTATGATTACATACAGCCCCTTCCATGCCCTTCAATCTAATTCAAATGCCCCAAATCTCAATGTAATCAAATCTTCTAACTCTGTTAACTCCAATGTCATCAAGTCTTCCAATCCAATTAAATTTCAAAGCGAAACACTGCACGTACAGACTCCAGGCACCATGGCCACTTCATATCACTGAATTGATCGTAGTGCATGGTGTAACTTTTTAATAATTTCCAAGATCTCAATCCTTTCTAGTATAATCATATTCAAGCACCCAGTCCTATCCGCTCTACCCCCATCTCACTCACTCAGTCCAATCCGTTCTACCCCATCTCATTCACCCAGTCCAATCCGCTCTACCCCCATCTCACTCACTCAGTCCTATCCGCTCTACCCCATCTCATTCACCTAGTCCAATCCAGTCTACCTCCACATTACTCACCCAGTCCTATCTGTTCTACCCCATCTTAATCACTCAGTCCAATCCGCTTTACCCCATCTCCCTCACCCAATCCAATACGCTCTACCCCATCTCCCTCACCCAGTCAAATTCGCTCTACCCCTATCTCACTCACCCAGTCCAAACCGCCCTATCTCCACCTCACTCACCAAGTCAAGTCAGTTCTACCCCAGTCTCACTCACTCACCCAGTCCAATCCACCCTACCCCCATCTCACTCACCCAGTCCAATCCGTTCTACCCCAGTGAGAGTTTGGTAGAGCGGATTGGACACCCAGTCTCACTCACCCAGTCCAATCTGCTCTACCTCTACATTACTCATCCATTACAATTCGCTTTACCCCACTCTCACTCACCCAGTCCAATCCGCTCTACCCCATCTCACTCACCCAGTCCAACCCGCTCTACCCCATCTCACTCACCCAGTCCAACCCGCTCTACCCCATCTCACTCACCCAGTCCAACCCGCTCTACCTCCACTCTCACTCACCCAGTTCACTTCGCTCTAGCTCCATCTCACTTACCCAGTCCAACCCGCTCTACCCTCATTTTACTCATCCAGTCCAATCCACTCTACCTCCATTTCACTCATTCAGTCCAATCGTACTCACCGAGTCAAATCCAGTCTATTTTTCTCTTACTTACTAAGTCCAATCCGATCTACCGCCATCTCACTCACCCAGTCCAATCCACTCTACCGCCATCTCACTCACCCAGTCCAATCCACTCTACCGCCATCTCACTCACCCAGTCCAATCCCCTCTACCGCCATCTCACTCACCCAGTCCAATCCCCTCTACCGCCATCTCACTCACCCAGTCCAATCCACTCTACCGCCATCTCACTCACCCAGTCCAATCCACTCTACCGCCATCTCACTCACCCAGTCCAATCCACTCTACCGCCATCTCACTCACCCAGTCCAATCCACTCTACCGCCATCTCACTCACCCAGTCCAATCCACTCTACCGCCATCTCACTCACCCAGTCCAATCCCTTTTACCTCCATCTCCCTAACCCAGTCCAATCCCTTTTACCTCCATCTCCCTAACCCAGTCCAATCCCTTTTACCTCCATCTCACTCACCCAGTCCAATCCACGCTACCGTCATCTCACTAACCCAGTCCAATCCACGCTACCGTCATCTCACTAACCCAGTCCAATCCCTTTTACCTCCATCTCACTCACCCAGTCCAATCCCTTTTACCTCCATCTCACTCACCCAGTCCAATCCCTTTTACCTCCATCTCACTCACCCAGTCCAATCTGCTCTACCTCAGTCTCCCTCACCCAGTCCAATCTGCTCTACCCCAATCTCCCTCACCCAGTCCAATCTGCTCTACCCCAATCTCCCTCACCCAGTCCAATCTGCTCTACCCCAATCTCCCTCACCCAGTCCAATCTGCTCTACCCCAATCTCCCTCACCCAGTCCAATCTGCTCTACCCCAATCTCCCTCACCCAGTCCAATCTGCTCTACCCCAGTCTCCCTCACCCAGTCCAATCTGCTCTACCCCAGTCTCCCTCACTACATTACATACAGCTCCTTCCATGCCCTTCAATCTAATTCAAATGCCCCAAATCTCAATGTAATCAAATCTTCTAACTCTGTTAACTCCAATGTCATCAAGTCTTCCAATCCAATTAAATTTCAAAGCGAAACACTGCACGTACAGACTCCAGGCACCATGGCCACTTCATATCACGGAATTGATCGTAGTGCATGGTGTAACTTTTTAATAATTTCCAAGATCTCAATCCTTTCTAGTATAATCATATTCAAGCACCCAGTCCTATCCGCTCTACCCCCATCTCACTCACTCAGTCCAATCCGTTCTACCCCATCTCATTCACCCAGTCCAATCCGCTCTACCCCCATCTCACTCACTCAGTCCAATCCGTTCTACCCCATCTCATTCACCTAGTCCAATCCAGTCTACCTCCACATTACTCACCCAGTCCTATCTGTTCTACCCCAATCTGGTCCAATCTACTCTACCCCAGTCTCCCTCATCCAGTCCAATCTGCTCTACCCCAGTCTCCCTCACCCAGTACATTCCACTCTACACACATCTCACCCACCCAGTCCAATCTGATCTACCATCATCTCACTCACCTTAGTTCGATCCAGTCTACCTTCACATATTCTCCATTTATTTCCCATATACCCCTTCCACCCCAATGCACCCATCCTTTATTTCCCATCTTAATCTACTTCTTCCACCCCAAGACACCTATCCTCCATTTATTTCCCATCTACCCCTTCCATGTGAGTTCACAATGATGACCCAGCCGTCCCTTACCAATCAGGGAGAAGATGTAATCCTTTGCTTGAACACAACTCTGTAACACGTCTTTCACTTTTACTGCGCTGCTCTCCCGCCTCTCCAGTTCCTCCAGCAGTTTATTTAGCTCTTCTATACGGGATCCAGAGCAAAAATCCACATCTGTTAGTGGCCGAGCAGAGGCAGCCATACTGCGGACCATCACATAATGCAGAAATTAATATAATACAATAGATAGATGGAGCTGGGGGTTGGATAGATGGACAGATAGAAAGATGAACAGATGGAGATAAGGAGGGTTGGATAGATGGACAGGCACATGTACATAAACAGTTATACAGTCACATTAATATACACACACAGTTATACAGTCACAGTAATATATACACATAGATATACAGTCACACTAATACACACGCAGTCACATTAATATATACACACACTCACAGTTATACAGTCACATTAATATGCACACACTCACAGACAGTCACACCAATATACACACACTCACAGTTATAGTCACACTAATATACACAGAGTCACATTAACTCACAGTTATACAGTCACACCAATATACATACACACAGTCACACGAATATATACACACACTCACAGACATACAGTCACAGTAATACACGCACACTCGCAGTTACACAGTAACACTAATATACACACACAGAGACATACAATCCCATTATTATGCACACACTCACAGACAGTCACATTAATATACACCCACCCACATACAGTCACATTAATATACACACACTCACAGTTATACAGTCACTACTATACACACATAGTCACACTAATATACACACACTCGCAGACATATAGTCACATTAATTTACACACTCGCAGACATATAGTCACAATATTATACACACACTTACAGACATATAGTCACACTAATATGCACACACTCACAGACATGCAGTCACACTAATATACACACACTTACATACAGTCAGATTATTATAGACACACACTTACAGTTATACAATCACATTAATATGCACACACTTACAGACACACACAGCCACATACAATCACATTAATATACACACACTCACAGTTATAGTCACACTAAAATACACAGTCACATTAATATACACATACACACTCACAATTATACAGTCAAACCAATACAGTCATGATAATATATACACACGCACACAGTCACAGTTATACAAATATACAATATACAAACACAGACATACAGTCACTCTAACATACACACTTACAGTTATACAATCACAATAATATGCACACACTTACAGACATACAGTCACACCAATATACACATAACCACATACAATCACATTAATATGCACACACCTCACATACAGTGACATTAATATGCACACACTGACAGTTATAATCACACTAATATACACACACACACTTACACCAATATACACGCACACAGACATACAGTCACGCTAATATACACACACTCTCAGTTATACAGTCACACTAATATACTCACACATACAGTCACATTAATATACACACACTGCCAGTTATACAGTCACACCAATATACATACATAGTTACATTAATCTACACATACAGTTATACAGTCACACTAATATACACACAAAGTTACATTAATTTACACATACTCAGTTATACAGTCACATTAATATACACACACAGATATACAGTCCCATTATAATACACAGTCACAGTCGCACTAATATGCACACACACATTAATATGCACTCACATTAATATGCACACACACAGACATACAGTCACATTTGTATATAAACTCTCACAGTCAAACAATATACACACAGTCACATTTATATGCACACCCTCACAGACATACAGTCATTAATATACACACACGTATAGAGTCACACTAATATACACACACATTCTCAGTTGTACAGTTACACCAATGTATATACACACAGTCACACTAATATACACACTTACAGACATACAGTCATTAATATACACACAGTTATACAGTCACACTAATATACACACACTCACAGACATATAGTCACCGTAATACACACACACAGTTATACAGTCAAATTTATAGATAAACACAAATCTACATCAAGTTTAATATACAGAGCATACACACAAGAATACAGCGAATATACAGCTCACACTCAGGTGTACAGTAATACACACGTCTATTGCCTCAGACACATATCCTACCTGGGTCCTTTGCCTAATTCAATCTGTTTTCTCCATTTACTCTCTGTCTTCACTTCCTGAATCTGATCTATCCTTGCCTACTCTCACCTGCAGCCAGGAGCCCCTCCCACTCTCACCTGCAGCCAGGAGCCCCTGCCACTCTCACCTGCAGACAGGAGCCCCTCCCACTCTCACCTGCAGACAGCTCCCCTTACTTCCACTTGCAGTGATTCCTAGTTAAATTGCAATCTAAATACTAAAGCCTGGCAAAGCATCATAGGAATTGTAGTCCACCAACAGCTTCAGTGTCAACTGTAGCTATGACTGCCATAAATGGCTTTTTTCTAAGCTTTGAATCTAGATCTAGATTTACACACAGGACTGGATGACGTGGAATCACTGAGAATCTGGCTGTTTATCAGCAGAATTGTAAAATGAATAAATGACTAATTTAATGCATAATGTCGATTAGATAATGCAAAAAAAAAAAGCCTAATGTGCACTATCCCAATCCCTGTGTATATTTAACCCCTTAAGGAACAAACTTCTGGAATAAAAGGGAATCATGACATGTCACACATGTCATGTGTCCTTAAGGGGTTAAATAACTGGAGGTTTTTAATATCACTCCAATGGCCATTAAAGTGTAAGCTCATCGGGGGCGTAGCCAAGAGCAAAGCCATGCGGACGCCATTTCTAACAGCTCCTGAACGGGTTGCACAATCTTGCAAATATTTCTAATTACCTGCACCAGAACCCCCAACAGATTCAAACTGCAGGGGTTAAAACTGCCCAGATCGATGCTCTTCTTTCAACCCACCAAAACACATAAGTGGAGACGCAGGCCTGGGGCCTACACCACGCAGACCCTTACAGACCTGGAGATATTCCCCGGCAGTGCCTATGCGGACACAGAGCCCGAGCCCTTCACCCAAACTCACCCGGAGCCCTAAGCACAAATGCCCGCCATGGGACGTCGCTCCCATAAGACAAACACCTCGGCCGAACACCAAGACATCGGAGCAATGCTCCAAAGACAGGTGCGGAACCGACAGAAAGCCTCTGCACCGCCGGCCTCTGACACATCCCCAGAGCGCCAACAACAGCGTGAGCAGACTACCACACCACCCGCTCCCACGGCAAACCCGGAAGACTCGACCCCTTCGACAAAGCACGACCTGAAGGTCTTCCTGAATGATTTCCATAAGGTGAACTTGCAGTACTACACTCTGACATGCAAAACACCACAGACAGGGTACGGGCCACAGAAGAGGGCATTATTGGCATAAATGCTGGCCTAACTAACATACAAACTACAGTACAACAGCTAACCAAATCACATCAAACACTCTCTCCACAGATGCACGCCATGGAAGACCGGTACAGTCGTAACAATGTCAAAATCAGGCGCATACCGACAGCAGTATCGGCAGAGGAGCTGCCACACTTTGTAAGGAGATTGCTGGCAACAATATTGGCAACGGCAAAAAAAATCATGCTGGATGGGGCATAGAGAATCCCACTAGGCCAATGCTGCACACCGCCAGAGACGTCATCTTAAGATGCACCTCGGCACAAGATAAGAGGTATTTCATGGCGGGCCTTAAGAGGCAAGACGCCACTATTCTTCGAAGACGCACAGTTGACCTATCAGGATCTCACTAGAACGACCCTACAATGGCGCTAATCGCTCACACAAGTCACACTACAATTGAGACTTGCAGGGAATGGCTTACCGATGGGGAACACTGGGCACGCTACACGTAACCCACAATGGAACTACTCACTCACCGCACTGGCAGAAACACCAACGTTCCTCATCACTCGGACTGGCAGAACCACTGCACCTGGCAGTATTTGGGATCCAGCCTCCATCACACCCTCTGTCCCAGCTAAGAGGCAACTAGGCATCCATATTAGAATGGCAGCGACTTGCAGCTACAATGACCTGGTGTTTTTGTTCTTTTTCTCATATGGTTTCTCTTTAATTGTGTTACATTATTATTATTTTACTGTTTGCCTATGCAATACATTACTCCACAGATTTTCCACTGAGCTTTACACTGATGGAAGACCACCCCACGTGGGGGTGACCCAGACTGCTATAGAGATCACAGGTCAGCCTGTCACAACTCACAGGCGAGACCCCCCCTGCCCCGCAGCCACCCCACGTTAGGGACACGCTCAACTCAAATTCAAGGCACCCTTGTAACAGTTCCTTGTTGAAACCCACCACGCTAACACCCCTACTAAACAATCCACATGCTGAGACCGACACGACAGGCATCTTTGCACGTACTCCCCGCAGTGTTTTTGACCTTTGACGGTTTGCTCCCTATGAGGACCATTGATCAACACTAAAACCATGACCTTAACATTGTGTCTCTACTCAGATATAGATAGCCCTCACCTCCACTATCCAATATATCAGTACACACATGCTTACTGACTCACTGTCAGGATTACAAGTTGATCCAGCACGCAGTACTGTGTCACACCTAGGACTACGGATAACGTATAACCGGACCTTAGAATGGCCCTGGGGAATCAGCACAACTAAACGGACAAGGGCACATGTATGAGTGAGGGGAGGGTGCTAGTGATTGGCTATATGTGTTTAGGGGAGTTGTTATGGGTTTTTAGTCGGGCAGGGATAACCGCATTTTTATGTGCAGATGAATGGGTGACACTCACTAGGCGCACTCACCTACTGATATATGTTGGATTACTCATGTTTATTAACAAAAATTTGTGCTGAACACTCACGTAACAATTGTATCCACTCTAAAAAGCTGTACCATGCTATTATGGCATTAACGGCATATATATTACCTTATGACGCAACACAAATAAAGAATTCTAAAATAAATTGTAAAAAGTGTAGGTCAACTGAAACGTCAAGGAAAAACCTCTTGCTTCTTTATGCTGCAAAGGTAAAATTATTTCATTTACAGCCCCCACCTGATGTCCACGGCTGTGCCAGGTGCAGACTAGGCAACAATAGCTGCCCACACACAAGATTTTTATTAAAGTGAGCAGTCACTGTCTGCTCGTTATTTAGTAGACATGGGGGGTGGTGGAATACAGGATGTTAAAACCTACCTTATTCTACTGTGGGGTAGGCATGTGCATGGGGAAGATTTTCGGTTCGGTTCAGCATTCCAAAATTCTGGATTTTCGCAATTCGGGACTTCGGCATTTCGGAACTTCGGCAACTTCGGAACTTCAGCAACTTCGGAACTTCAGCACTTCAACACTTTGGAACTTCGACACTTTGGAACTTCGGCAACTTCGACACTTTGGAACTTCGGCAACTTCGACACTTTGGAACTTCGGCAACTTCGACACTTTGGAATTTCGGCATTTCGAAATTTCGGGACTTCTATTGCAGCCGCTTAGTAGATAACTCCCTAATTCCCACGGAGCTATCTACTAAAAGGCCTAAATTGGTCTTTCAGCCCAAAAAAAAAATAGGGTCCCCCCTCCTGAGCCCCCACCCGCGACACGCGAGTGGGGGCTTTTAAATTAAAGGGGGGACTTATTGCCCCAGCCCCCACCCCTGGGCGGCGGGTGGGGGCCCTAAAGTAATATGATGAGGGGGACCTATTGTCCTCCCCCCTGGCCCCCACCCTTGAGCTGCGGGTGGGGGCCCTAAATTGGAATAAGGACCTAATGTCCTCCCCCTGGCCCCCACCCCTGAGCAGCGGGTGGGGGCCCTAAATACTAATAAGGGGGGACCTAATGTCCTCCCCCTGGGCCCCACCCCTGAGCGGCGGGTGGGGGCCCTAAATACTAATAAGGGGGGACCTAATGTCCTCCCCCTGGCCCCCACCCCTGAGCAGCAGGTGGGGGCCCTAAACAAGAATAAGTGGGGGGGACCTAATGTCCTCCCCCCTGGCCCCCACCCCTGAGCGTCGGGTGGGGGCCCTAGACAAGAATTTTTTTAGGGCCCCCACCCGCCGCTCAGGGGTGGGGGCCGGGGGGGGACAATAGGTCCCCCCCCTTATTAGTATTTAGGGCCCCCACCCACCGTTCAGTGGTGGGGGCTAGGTGGGAGGACCTTAGGTCCCCCCCTCTTATTAGTATTTAGGGCTCCCACCCACTGCTCAGGGGTGGGGGCCTGGGGGAGAACATAAAGTCCCCCCCTTATTCTAGTTTAGGGCCTCCACCCACCGCTCAGGGGTGGGGGCCGGGGGGAGGACATTAGGTCCTTATTTGAGACAAACCACATGAGGTATCTTTGGGTACCTATACTTTAACTGCCACACACATACCACATTCATTGTTCCAAGGATCTAAAGGGGAGGTGGGCTGATGAAGAGGAGTAACTATAATGAGTTTTATCCAAGGGTCAAACAGTAATCATCCCAGAGTGCCCATCTATGCTTCGGATCTATAGACGCCCCTAAGTGCCCATCTTCTCTTTCTAATGTTCTATTTCTCTGCATCACCCTCTCTACTTCTGACCACTTTAGGAGCTCTCCTCCTTTCCAATTTACAGCAATTAGCCATTTCGCTATCGATAGACTCTGAAGGAGAAGGGATTTTAATTCTTTAATACAGTGACTAGGTAAAAGGTGGAATAGAGTCAATTCTGGCGATAAGTTAATATTTTCACCTGCAATTCAAGATATCCCAAGTTTTACCTCCTGCCAGTAGATTTGAATGTAAGGGCAGGACCACCACATGTGCATTGCTGAGCCTACTTGATTACACCCTCTCCAGCATAATTTATATGTATCATCTTTCTTTATTTTCCAAAGTTTAAGCGGAGTTAAATTCCATCTATAAGTGCATTTCCCTATATGAAACATGTTTAATTAATTTATCCGTTAAAGGGACACTATAGTCACCTGAACAACTTTAGCTTAATGAAGCAGTTTTGGTGTATAGAACATGCCCCTGCAGCCTCACTGCTCAATCCTCTGCCATTTAGGAGTTAAATCCCTTTGTTTATGAACCCTAGTCACACCTCCCTGCATGTGACTTGCACAGCCTTCCATAAACACTTCCTGTAAAGAGAGCCCTATTTAGGCTTTCTTTATTGCAAGTTCTGTTTAATTAAGATTTTCTTATCCCCTGCTATGTTAATAGCTTGCTAGACCCTGCAAGAGCCTCCTGTATGTGATTAAAGTTCAATTTAGAGATTGAGATACAATTATTTAAGGTAAATTACATCTGTTTGAAAGTGAAACCAGTTTTTTTTTTCATGCAGGCTCTGTCAATCATAGCCAGGGGAGGTGTGGCTAGGGCTGCATAAACAGAAACAAAGTGATTTAACTCCTAAATGACAGTGAATTGAGCAGTGAAATAGCAGGGGAATGATCTATACACTAAAACTGCTTTATTTAGCTAAAGTAATTTAGGTGACTATAGTGTTCCTTTAAGGTAAAGGCGCCCACCCATATTTCTATGGGCCAGGATTGACTTAATTCTTCTTTACCAAATTCTTATACTTAGAGATTTAGTATCCAACTCCCTATCTCTTAAAAGACTGAAACATTTTGACAGCAAATGCTTCTTATTTGTTGAACATATTATTTTTTCACAAGCTGTCAATTGTCTAAACTGCTGTAAATGATAACTTGAGGATGAAATCTTAGACTTCAACTGGTTATATTCCATCCATAAACTAGTTGGAGCTTTACAATTAGATTGTAGATAATCAAATGAAAGAAATTCATTGTTAACATATAAGTCCTTTAAGTGTCTACAACCCAGTTTCTAGAGCCTCTCAAGCAAGGGAGAATGAATAGTTTCCTGCAGCCAAGAAATAGGAGTAATAGGGTTTGGGAGGGGGATCAGAGAGTATTTACAGTTCAATTTCAACCAACTTTTAGCAATATGTCGAATCTTTACTATGCACTAGGACACCAGATACATCATCTCGATAGATTATTGAGTTCAGATGTATTTGTTTTTAAAAAAAAAGCTTCTATCGACATCCAATTACTGTTCTTTTCCTCTTCCTCCCATCTCAGGATATGTGCCAGGAGGGCGGCTTCCTGATATCTCTTAATGTCTGGGTATGTCTGGGTATGCTAACCCTCCACTAGAGAATTTTTTAACCATAATCGGTATCTTAATTCGCATTCTTTTATTCTGATGGATAAATACATCAATCGCCCTCTGCAGCTTACTAAGCAAATAAATGGGACACTGCCAGGGTATGCAGCGCATAATATAGGTGATCTTAGGTAATGTTGTCATCTTAATCGCTGCTATTCTACCCGACCAGGAGATATTAAAGTTTTTCCGTGTAGCCAAGATTTGCATTATATTAGAGTAAACTAATTGATAGTTAACTGTCAGTATTCTTTTCATTTCAACAAAGAGTTTTATCCCTAAATGAGTTATTGAATCTTGCCAATTAAATGGATATAATTTAATTAATGTATGTAACGGACCTTTTTGCACACAAGAGGTTAAAAACTGTTTAGGCGATATTCCCCTTTTCAGATGCACAGACAGCTACTGCAATCACCAATCTCCCAAACTGCAAACACATGAATTCACCAAACTCCCGAACAAGAATACGAATGCTGTAAACAGCCGAACAGGAAAAACCATACGAACAGTTTACACTCCTGGCAGTCGCACTGTAACAGCATACAATCCAATTCCCCCCAAGAACGAGACGACACTTCGTTTGAGGATCCAGCAGAACTGATTTACTGGGACTACCTGCCTGGCTTTTATGCAGGTATACCTGGTGGACACTCCCCTAGAGGACCAGATGGAAGACTGGGAAACATATTGGACATTGACCAATCACAAACTTACAATCCCACAGTGCATTACAATCCCTCCTCTCTGTCCTGGAGATAATTGGGAAGTAATCCAATTATTTCCAAGGACAGAGACAAAACTCCATTAGCCACATGGCAGACAAAGGACAATAAAAGAAATAAAATGACATACTGTTACATTTATCACATAGAACATACACATTCTACCTATCCCCAGATAGCTTAGATCTGAGCGCACATTATTACCGGACGGCGCTCAGATCACATACATACAGTTCAATCGCCATGGAGCCAAAGTCTTTCATACAGTTTTTCAGTATAAGGCTGGGCTCCATGGCATAGCTAGCTGGGGTAGCATGGTTTAAACAGTAAAGTACCGAATGGACTGGTGTTCGGATAATTGACTGCAGGTAGGAGAAGAGAGGTCGGCGGCTCAGCGGTGTTCGTGACTTTAACAGTCCGCAGAAAGGCACGAACCAGCCTTTCTGCAGGGAAAAAGAACAGTGTTAAATATGGGGCCATAGTCCAGCGGTAGGAGGCAGGCAACCAGACTCCTCCAGTGGCCAGTGGCGAGGTTGGTTCCGCCACAATGAATTTTTCTCAAACCGCCCCATATTAAACGACAATGCTTCAGATTTCTTTACATTTAACTTATAATTGGAAACTACACTGTACTCGGTTATGATATCTTGAAGAGCTTTTAAGGATTTTTCAGGATTTCCTATTGTTATTATTACGTCATCCACATAAAGGGAAATTACATGGTGCCTTTGGTTTACGTCTATTCCTGTTATATCTGACGATTCCCTAATCGCATTCGCCAGTGGTTCAATAATTAAGGCAAAAACTAATGGGAATAATGGGCAACCTTGCCTGGTGCCATTTGAAATGCCAAACCTCCCTGAACGAAAGTTCTGGCCGATTACACTAGCAGTCAGAGAAGAGTATAATGCAGCTATCGCCTTGGCGGCAAATTCACCTAGACAATATTTTGACAGGGTGAGGAACATAAAGTCCCAATCCACCCTGTCGAAAGCTTTCTCAGCGTCGAGTCCTACGAAAATTGCTGCTATTTTTTTCATATTTGATCACTGAAATTAGATTTAATAATTTCCTGATATTGTCTGAGCCCAATCTCCCCTGAATAAAACCAGTTTGATCCAAATTGATCAATTTGTGGATATATTGATTCAATCTCTCAAATAAAATTTTAGCGTAAATCTTTATAGCCACATTGGGCAGAGATATAGGTCTAAAGTCACTGCATTCTGGTTTTGATTTATTTGTTTTAGAAATTGTAATTATTTGTGCTTCCAACAGCTCCGGGTGAGCTTGGCCTGCTTTCTTAATTTCATTTAATGTTTGGGACAGGTAGTTAGAAATCTCCTCTTTACAGAGTGAGTAATATTGATTGATTAGCCCATCTGGGCCAGGCGCTGAGCACAGTCTCAATTTTGAGATTGCCCACTTAACTTCCTGTTCCGTAATATCTCCGTTTAGCTTTGCCAACTCTATTTGGGAAACTTTGGGAAGATAAATTTTATCCATAAATTCATCTATTTTCCTTTTTTCCCCTCATTATCCATGCTTGGGGAGTGCAGGTTATAGAGATCATGGTAGTATTTTTAAAAAAATGCGGCAATATCACCCGGCTTAACAAAAATTTCTTTATTATATAATAACCTATTTATTCTACCCTTGTTTAAACTTTGTTTCAACTTGTTAGCCATCAATTTCCCTGCTCTGTTTTGACCATGATATAATCTTTGTTGCGTAGCCCATACAGATTTATCCACAGAAGTTGTTGAATTCTTTTTATTTGTAATTGTATTTCTCAGATTTTATTTATCTTTAAATCAGAAGGAGATTTTTTGTTTTCTCTATCTAATATAAGTTCGATATGCAGATCCCTTAGTGATTTACCTCTCTGCTTCCTTAGCCTTGACTGCCATTTTATCATTATCCCTCTTATATAAGCTTTATAAGAAAGCCATACCATTTCTTTCGAATTTACAGAACCATCGTTACTTTTAAAAATGCTCCCGTTTCATTTTTTAAGTTATTTAATATTTCCGGGCCCTTTAGTAAATCTATCTCCATTCTCCATGGCCTATTATTCTTTACAGAAAGATCATTGCCCAAAGTTACTCCCACCCACCCATGATCAGACCAGGTGAGTTACTCCCGTTGTGCTGAACGCTCCTGGAGGAAGACCCGCACTCAGGCAGACTTTCTCCATTATAGATTCATGTTGCGTTCATACAGCGCAGCCCTTGCCCTCGCCAAACAGTCATACTTTTCCTCTCTCATTAGTTCATGCTCCCACAATCCCAGACGTCTCTTTGACACCTTTAACTCATTTCTGTGCCCTGCTGCGGCCACCCCTCAAACTAACCTTATAGCTGATAGCTTTGCATGCTACTTTACCAACAAGATTGAACAGCTAAGGAAGCAATTCTCACCTCATTGCCGTTCTCTTTCTCAACCACACATAAATCATGCCTTCCCTACCCTTCAGACTTTCTCCCCGGCTACTGAACAAGAGGTGGCTGCGCTTCTCCATTTCTCTCGCCCCACCACTTGCTGCTCGATCCTGTCCCATCCCACCTCATCAGATCTCTCTCCCCTTGTCTTGTGCCTACCCTAACACACATCTTTAACTGCTCTCTTTCTTCTGGCACTGTTCCTGCTGACATTAAACATGCCACTGTAGTACCTATCCTGAAAAAAACATCTCTTGACCCATCCTTCCCCTCTAACTATCGTCCAATATCCCTGCTCCCTTTCTCATCAGAGCTTTTGGAAAGACTTGTCTTTACCCGTGTGTATTGCTCCTCAATTCCAACTCTCTCCTTGACCCTCTTCAGTCTGGCTTCCGCCCTCTCCACTCTACTGAGACTGCTCTCATCAAAGTCAAAATGACCTAATCGCAGCTAAATCCAAAGGTCACTACTCCATATTAATTCTCCTTAACCTCTCTGCTGCCTTTGACACCGTTGATCATGCTCTCCTCCTTCAAACTCTTCAATCGCTCGGTCTCTGTGACTCTGTCCTCTCTTGGTTTTCCTCCTATCTCTCCCAACGCTCATTCAGTGTCTCCTTTCCCAAGCATACCTCCTCCCCTCGTCCTGTCTCGGTTGGAGTTCCCCAAGGCTCTGTCCTTGGTCCCCTTCTATTTTCTCTTTATACTGCCTCTCTTGGCAAGCTTATTGCCTCTTTTGGATTCAACTACCACCTGTACGCTGATGACACCCGGACCTCTCCCCTGCCGTCCTGCAACGTGTCACTGCTTGCCTTTCTTCCATCTCTGACTGGATGTCCTCACGCTTTCTGAAACTGAATCTCTCTAAAACTGAACTCCTTGTCTTTCTTCCTCCTAATACTGATCCTCCTCTCTCGCTCTCCCTTCAAGTCAGTGATATCCACATAAGTCCATCCTTGCAAGCACGCTGTCTTGGCATCATACTTGACTCTGGCCTCACCTTTGAGCCTCACATCCAGTTTGTTGCCAAATCCTGTAGGTTCCAACTCAAAAACATAGCCCGCATCCGCCCCTTTCTTCCGCAAGATGCGACCAAAGAGCTTGTCCATGCTCTAGTAATTTTCCGCATGGATTACTGTAACCCTCTCCTGATTGGTCTCCCCAAAAGCCGTATTGCCCCACTACAGTCTGTAATGAATGCTGCAGCTAGACTGATTTTCCTCTCTAGTTGGTTCTCTCACACCTCACCCCTCTGCCAGTCTTTACATTGGCTTCCTGTATGCTATAGGAGTCAATTCAAAGTGCTAACCCATACATTTAAAGCACTTAACAATTCTAGCCCCTCTTATATCTCCTCAATGATCCATAGGTATGCCCCTCCTCGTTCCCTCCGCTCTCCCCGTGACCACCTCCTGACCGCTGCTCGCACCCGTACGGCCAACTTGCGCTTGCAGGACCTCTCACAGGCTGCTCCTTTCCTATGGAATAGCCTGCCTACCGCCATTAGACTCTCCCCTAGTCTTCAATCATTTAAGAAGAGCCTTAAAACCCATCTCTTCAGGAAAGCTTATAGCCTCCCAGAGTAACCTCTACCTTACATACCTGTCTCTTGCTCTCTCCTAAAGGGCAGCACTCTACCCTCTCCTCCAGCTCTGCTTCACTCCCACCCTATTTGATATTTCCTGTCCTAA